AGGTCCACAGATTATATCACCACAGGAGTTTGTGAAGTCTAAGATACTTGTGGAACATCAAGTTAAAGTCCGCCCCCAGTTCAACTTCTCTCAGCTTCGGGCAAAGAGAGTCTTGCCCCAGTGGAGTTGGGGTTCCTTCAGCAGCTGCACCCTGAGCTGGCCTCCACAAAAATGGGTTGTTGTTTGTGGGCTTCTGAAGTTGAAATAGTCTCTGTGTTCCTTACTACAGAAATAAAGCAAAGGTGGGCCACGAAAGATAATCCCAGCACTAGCTCCAAATCAACCAAATTTATTAAGACAAATAGACTCTTTGATCTTTAAAGCAGTTTATCCCCAGCTACATTTATGTTCCTGTGTTTTTTCTTTTCTTCCTTTTTTTTCTTCTAGGTACTTAATTTTTTTAAATTCCAGTATAATTAATGTATAGTGTTATATTAGTTTCAGATGTACAACATAGGGATTCAACAGTTCTATACATTACTCAGTGCTCATCATGATAAGTGTACTCTTAATCCCCTTTACCTATTTCACCCATCCCCCCACCCACCTCCCCTCTGGTAACCACCAGTTTGTTTTCTGTAGTTAAGAGTCTGGTTTTTTTGGTCTCTTTCTTTTTTTAATTTGTTGTTTTGTTTCTTAAATCCCACATATGAATGAAATTGTATGGTATTTGTCTTTCTCTGACTGACTTATTTCACTTTGCATTTACCCCTCTAGATCCATCCATCTTGGGGCAAATGGCAAGATTTCATTCTTTTTTTATGGCTGGGTATTATTTTATTGTACATACATGCCACATCTTTATCCATTCATCTATGGGTGGACCCTTGGGTTGCTTGCATATCTTGGCTATTGTAAATAATGCTGCTATAAACATAGAGGTTCATATGTCTTTTTAAATTAGTGTTTTTGTATTCTTTGGGTAAAGAGCCAGCAGTGTAATTACTGGATCATATGGTAATTCTATTTTAAATTTTTTGAGGAACCTCCATACTGTGTTCCTCAGTGGTTGCACGAGTTTGCATTCCCACCAGCAGTCCACCACATCCTTGCCAACACTTGTTGTTTCTTGAGTTTTTGATTTTAGCCCTTCTGACAGGGTGAGGTGACATCTCATTGTGGTTTTGATTTGCAATTCCCTGATGATGAGTGATGTTGAGCATCTTTTCATGTGTCTGTTCATGTCTTCTGCCCATTTTAATTGGATTATTTGTGTTTTTTGGTATTGAGTTGTATAAGTTCTTTATATATTTTGAATAGTAACTTCTTTATTTTACATTTTTTAAATTTTATTATGTAATGTTAATCACCATACATTACATCATTAGTTTTTGATGTAGTGATCCACAATCCATTGTTTTCGTATAACACCCAGTGCTCCATGCAGTTTGTGCCTCCCTTAACACCCATCACCAGGCTAACCCATCCCCCCACCCCCTCCCCTCTAGAACCCTCAGTTTGTTTTTCAGAGTCCATAGTCTCTCATGGTTCGTCTCCCCCTCCGATTCCCCCCCTTCATTTTTCCCTTCCTACTATCTTCTTTTTTTTTTTTTTATCAGATATATCATTTGCAAATATCTTCTCCCATTCAGTAGGTTGCCTTTTTGTTTTGTTGATTATTTCCTTCACTGTGCAGAAGCTTTTTATTTTGGTGTAGTCCCAATAGTTTATTTTTGCTTTTGTTTCCCTTGCCTCAGGAGACATATCTAGAAAAATGTTGCTATGGCTGATGTCAGAGAAACTACTACCTGTGGTCTCTTCTGGAGATTTTTATGATTTCAGGTCTCACATGTAGGTCTTTAATCCATTTCGAGTTTATTTTTGTGTATGGTGTAAGAAAGTGGTCCAGTTTCATTCTTTTAAATGTAGCTGTCCAGTTTGCCCAATGCCATTTGTTGAAGAGACTGTTTTTGTTTTTGCTTTTTTTTTCTATTGTATATTCTTGCCTCCTTTGTCACAGATTAATTGACCATAACAGCATGGGGGTATTTCTGGGCTTTCTTTTCTGTTCCACTGACCTATGTGTCTGTTTTTGTGCCAGGACCATACTGTTTCAATCACCACTTCTCGTACTGTTTTGTAGGTGTGGCCATTGACTACAGCAGACATTTAGGGGTATCTGAAAGAGAGAGGGTAGACAGAGGAAACCTTCCTGGTTTTAGTCCTACCAGCCTGTGAAACAGTTTTTTTTTTTTAGTTGTTTGTGAACTATACATTTATTGGGAGGATTCTCTCCCGAAGAAGTTATTTTTGTGACTGTGCACTTAACCACCAAGGGGTAGAGCCATCCAGACATGTGGTCTGAGAGAAGAATGCTGAACCGTCGTTGCTGTCTTTTGCAACGTTTAGGACTCTGCAGTGGTGGTGGCCCTGGTTACCAGGTCCTGTTTGAGTTCCCTCCCTCCACTGTGCAGCATATTCAAAACCTAATTTTTCCTTTGCCTTTGTGTTTCCCTTCCTGCCTCTTGTTACATAATTTCTTGATCTAAAAGCCTAGGCCTCCTAAGGAGACTTCCTCCTGCCTATATAATTAATCCAGAGCCAGCTTTAGAACTTGGACTGCAGTGGAGGGTGACTCTTGAGTCTGTAAATAAGCCACACGAGTTAAGGTTAGTTCTCCATGGTTCTCTCTTTGCCCTGGGCCCGGATAAAGAACGGCCTTGAGGGAAGCTCATCTAACCCTTTCTACCTTCCACCTGCTCCTGGATCTAATAAATTAAAGCTAGAACCTCAAGAGGGCTCTGAGATACATACTGGCCTCAGCTGCCTTACAGCTTAAAAGTAGTAAGTTGAATTCTCCCTTCTGAGGCCTACGAGGCCTATAGATGGAAAGACTCTTTTCCCTATAGTTGAATCCTTGCCTCAGGCACACCTGCTTAGAAACCTTTCTGCCAGCCAAATTCCAGGAGAGGAATATATTCTGAGAATGCCTGTGCTCCCAAAGGTAGGTCTCTCCCAAGTGACTGGCTTGCCCTGTGCCTTTGCTGGGCCCATGCAGTTCTGCAGCAATTATCCATAGAGGCCATGCAGTATGTCAGTTACCTTTATAGAAGCAGCTGCTCATCTCTGGATTAAGCCTATGTATAAGCTTTTATAATCTACCAAGACCAAAATATCAAGCAGTTTATGATTTACAACCTCCACTTAGGCTGCAACAGTTAAAAGCCAGCTGCAAAGCTGAGAAGAACTTGTATGGTCTAACATAAGCAAGGCCAAGGTTAAAACGCCCTGCTCACAAATAAAGTTCAAGGCCCAAATCCTTGGCCACATTAGAACTTTTCCACGTGTACTTTTTTCTCCATAATTTTATTCCTTGTCTGTGTATTAATTTTATCCAGTGTGCTGGCCAGATGTTGAGATCCAAACTCATTCCTAACATATAGGTTTTGCCATCCGTAGGTTCTCATAGCATGGAGGGAACTAGCTAGAACATATACTCCTTAGAGAAGGCTTGCCACTCTGTTGGCAGAGTTGCAAGTTGGAGAGCTCTTCTACTCTCCCCCTCCTGGTCTTACAGTTGCTTTCAGAGTTTCTGTGCCTGGCAAAAAAACAAAACAAAACAAAAACAAAGCTTGAGTGATATTTTATGGCAATAAATTTTTTAAAATGGTTGGCCTCAAGCCTTACAAATATGAACATGCCCTTTCAGCTCTGAAGGTCCCTTCTAGTCATGTAATTATGAGCTTGCTTGCTCTTGTTTACTTGGACACTCAAAACAGAATTTGATGTTCAAACACGAAGAGGCTGTAAATGCTTATTCTACTGAATGTTGGTGGCTTTTTTTTCTTTCTAGTAATTTTAAATTTGAACGCAAAATTAACATTTTATATTCCATTTTTCTCTATGAAAATAACCTACTATCAATCTCATTTGTCTCATCATTCTTTTCAAATTTTATTATTTTAATTAGTCTTTGTCTTCTTTTTCTCACTTATTTTCCTTTGTCTCATTTTTTTAACTTCCCCTCAGCATTCTTACCTCTTGTATTCTGACCATTTTTCCTGAATGCTTGCCTTTTTCAATCTTATTCCACTGTTTTACCTTGATTTCATGATTTCTCCCTCCCCTTCAATTCTTTTGTGAAAAAGTACATTAGGAATTGTTTTTTCTTGATTTTTATTTTGCACTGACTGTCATTGGGAAAACAAAAAGCCCATTTGTGGCAAATATGTTTCCTTTTTTTTTTTCCTCCAGAAAGGGCTGGGAGTAGGCCAGAGCTTCTTAAGTATTTTATGACAGCAACTTAACTTGCTGACAGCGTTCGGTGCTGAACACACTTCTGTGGGTGCCCATGAAGGGATGTGGCCATGTGCATTCACAACATGCTGGCTGTCACTCTTTTCTCCAAATGAGAAAGCCTGTTGCAATGCAAATGACTGTAATTTCATAGAATGTAATATCTAATTTTTTGCCACTTCCTTACAGATTTCATTTTAACTGTTATTAGTAACTCATAATTTCCATATAGTGCATTTGAATATATCCACTGGACTAGATCATGTTTACCAAATATCCTATTTAGCTATAACATTCAGTACTTCTAGACATAGTGGTGCATCTTTGAGAGATTAATATGATAGTGCCAGTAGGATCAGGTACCTTATTGCTTCATATCATCTTAAGTCCCCAAGACTCCATTCTTGTCTTCACTTATATACTTTCTGCAATTTTTTTAACCTCACGGGCATCTCCAATCTCTTCATCTTTTCATCTTCTGCCTTTTTATTAGACTCCTCCTGGTCTCATTTCTCTGCCTGGCCTAGACTGAATGGTTGGTAACCTGAATTAGTCCCTTGCTCCAAACCTTCAACATCTTTACACCCATGTATTTAGGTCACTTGGGCCTTGAAATTCAGAACCCTGGATCAATTCCCATTTATCTCCTCTTTTTCTACATCTAGTATGCAGAGCTCTGTTGGCAATAATTATTCAACTATGCCAGTTGTGTCCCTGCAAGCCATGGCCTTCATTCTCAGCTTTCAACCATTTTTTTAAAAGAATTTATTTTTTTAGAGCACTTTTAGGTTTACAACAAATTGAAGACAAGGTATGGAGATTTCTCATATACTCTCTGCCCCCATAAATGCGTACCTTCCCCCATTACCAACATAACTTACCAGAATTTTTTTTTTAACCAAGGATGAAGCGATATTGACACATCATCACCCAAAGTACATAGTTACCTTAGGGTTCACTCTCAGAGTTGTACACTGTATGGGTTTGGAAGAAGGTATAATGATATATATCCATCATTTTAATAGCATGCAGATTATTTTTAGTCCTAAAAGTCCTCTGTGCTCTGTCTATTCATCACTTCTTCACCCCCACCCTCACTCCTGACAACCACTGATTTTTTTTTGTGTCCATAGTTTAGCCTTTTCTAGAATATCCTATAGTTGGAATGTTATACTATATGGCCTTTTCAGATTGGCTTCTTTCACTTAACAATATGCACCTGAGTTTCCTTTATGTCTCTTCATGGCTTGAAAGCTCATTTCTTTTTACTGTTGAATAATATTCCATTATCTAGATGTATCATGTTGTGTTTATCTACTCATCTACTGGAGGACATCTCAGTTACTTCCAGGTTTTGGCAGTTATGAATAAAGCTGCTTTAAACATACATGTGTGTATATAAGTTTTTAACTCCTTTGGGTGAATAACAAGGATCACAGTTTCTGGATCACATGGTAAGAATATATTTAGTTTCATAAGAAAGTGCCAAACCATCTTCCGAAGTGGCTGTACCATTTTGCATTCCCACTAGCAAATGTCTGAGAATTCCTGTTCCACATCCTACATTTGGTGTTGTCAGTTTTTGGGATTTGGGGCATTTTATTAGGTGTGTAATGGTATCTCATTGTTTTTTTTTTTTTTAAAGATTTTATTTATTTATTTGACAGAGAGAGACACAGCGAGAGAGGGAACACAAGCAGGGGGAGTGGGAGAGGGAGAAGCAGGCTCCCTGCAGAGCAGGGAGCCCGATGGCGGGACTCAATCCCAGGACCCTGGGATCATGACCTGAGCTGAAGGCAGTCGCTTAACCAACTGAGCCACCCAGGCGCCCGTTATCTCATTGTTTTAATTTGCATTTCTCTGATGGCATATGATATGGAAGATCTTTTTATATGCTTATTTGCCATCTGTATGGGGCATCTGTTAAAGTCTTTGGCCCATTTTTAATCAGGTTGTGTGTTTTCTTATTATTGAGTTTTAAGAGTTCTCTGTATATTTTGGATAACTGTCCTTTATCATATATGTCTTTTGCAAATATTTTGTGCCAATCTGTGGCTTGTCTTCTCATTCTCTTGATACTGTCTTTTGAAGAGCAGAAGTTTTTAATTTTAATGAAGTCCGGCTTATCAGTTATTTATTGCATGGGTTGTGTCTTTGGTTCTGTGTCTAGAAAGATGTCATTATACCCAAAGTCTTCTAGACTTTTTTCTATGTTATCGTCTATGAGTTCTATGGTGTTGTGTTTTGCCAGCCATTTTTTATTAATTCTTGTTATGTTCCCTCTCTCTCTCTCTCTTTTTTTTTTTTTTTTGAAGATCTTATTTATTTATTTGAGAGATGGAGAGAGTGTGAGGAGAGGCTGAAGGGAGGGAGCAAGAATCCAAAGCATACTCCACACTGAGCATGGAGCCCAATGTGGGCTCAACTACGACCAACCTTGAGATCATGACCTGAGCCCTAACCAAGAGTCGGATGCTTAACTGACTGAGCAATCCAGGTGCCCCCCACTTTTCAATGACTGATTGTCCCAGTGCTCTCATTAAGCCTTCTTTCCAACTTCTCACCCTTACTCTCCTACAGATCATTTAGTCTCTGCTCTGATGAAGTAAAATGGAAAGGTCAAATATAACCTCTCTAAAAACTTTCTATCCTTTTCCCCACAAAGGACATATATCTGCCCTTACTCTCCCAACATCCCCAGGTTCACAAGATGAGGCAGCTCCATTTCTGTTCAAGTATAGTCCCTTTCTGTACTCTTTATCTTTCATTTCTATCTTCTTTATCCTTCTATCATTTTTCTTCTATCACCAGTCTCTTACTTTGTACTGTTATTTCTCCTCAAATCATAAAAATGCTCAATTCTTTTCTATACTAAAAAAAAAAAAAAGAAACCCCAAAACAACAACAACAAACTAGCAGCAACAACACCATCACCTCCTTTGGTCCTGTGTCTATTCTGATTTTAACTGTCTTTCATCTTCCTATGGTTAGAGCTCTTTCAATCATCGTCTCCATTTTTTACTTCCCATTCACCTTTCAACCCAATTAACTTTGACTTCTCCCAGAATTGCACTGCAGCTGGCATAGCTGAAGACACTCTGATGTCTGCGTTGCACTTGCCACATCCCTGTCTGTGTTGAATTTGACTCTCTCAACCACACTGTCCTTAAAATTCACCTTGCCTTGGGCTTCCATGACCTCATTGCTGTTATTTCTCTGACGTTCCTTTTCAGGCTCTTTTCTGACCACCTCTTAAATGTTGGTATTTCCCTGGATTCCACTGTGAGCCACTGCTATTTCACTCAGAGTTTTAACAGATACACGCACACACACACACACGCACACAGACGCACACACTAATGACTTGCAAGTCTTCATCTCTAGTCCTGACATACCCATTTTGCTTCAGAGATCGGGTCACTTGAATGTGTTATTTCCCATAGGTACCTCATATTCAACATGGCCTTGGCTGAATTCGTCATCAACTCCCCTACTTTCCAAAACTTGGTTCTTCTTTTCTTTCCTTCTCTTCCTTCTGAGGTGGTAGCCCCAAGAGTTTCAGAATCTTTCTAGAACAACACAATGTCCAATAAAAATATAATATAAACCACATACGTAATTTAAAATGTTCTGACAGCCACATTAAAAAAAATGAAACAGTGAAATGATTACTAACAGTTGATTTTATTTAACCCAGTATATCTAATATAATAGTACTATGATAAATCTGCAAACATTTAATGAGGTATTTTGCATTTTTTTGGTACTAACTTCTCAAAATCCAGGTTGCATCTTACACTTATTGAACACCCGAATTGAAACTATTCACTGGGGCCCAGTGACCATGTGTGGCTAGTGGCTCCTGTACAGAGCAGTTCTTGAGTCTTTACCTCCAGTAATCTCTCTCTTAACCAGTTGTTAGTCCTGTTGATTTTATCTCAGAGGTATTTCTCCAGTAAGTTTATTTATTTGCAACCTTACTGTATCATTGCTTTACATAATCTGGTTTCTCTGCCTTAGAGAGTGTGTAAGATCCACTAGAATAAAGGAGGATATAGTAGAACATCTACTTATATGTATTTTTATCTAGAAAATAAGAAAACAATTCAGACTTATTAACACTTAATATACATATTGATGCCAGCACCCTTGCTCTGAGAAGTCAATAGTAAAGTGTAAATACAAGACATAAAATATATTTTCCCCACAAAATAAAAAAAATTAATATTATTTATTTTATCTTCATGCAGAATTTAAAAATTCTCTGTATATTTCTATATGATGTACCTAATTTATTAACACAGTAGTCATATATAATTTAAAAATAAAATTACATGTGTATTTGAAATTTGTTTTAGTACTGCCAGGGGGAGTGAGATCACTAAAATTTGGGGTCTCATGGACCCGGATCCACTCTGACTTTACTTCATCTATCTCCCCAACCTCAACTTCTTCATCCCCACCTCACATTTTCTGTATTTAGTGGCTCTTTCATATTTTGTTCTTGTTTGTTCTTCTTCATATAGATAAACAAATAGGTAAACAAACTACTTCCTGACCTGACTAATTCTGTTTCTCTTCTAGGCTCTTCTGAGGTACCATCTCTTCAAAGAAAGCCTATGACAACTTCCCGAATTATGTCAAGTGCTCCTTGCTTGACATACATTTCATATTACACTATTAGACTGAAATTATATTTTTATTGATCTGCATTACCCACTAAAACATAAGATTCATGAAGGCAGGGATTACAGCATCATCATGCCTTTTTCATCTTGACATATGATAGGTTCCTTAGAAATGTTTATTGGACTACATTCATGGCTCTCCTTATTGGAGCCAGCCTGTTTTACCAGTGAATGAAATAGTGATTTGCTCATTGCACTTTATGGAGTTTCTGGGAGACTTCCCTTGTCTCTAAAGATACATAATAAAATAATAAGTGTACTTTCATTTTAGTACTGTGATTAGTATGCTATTTGTAAGAAGCTCATAGGGTCGATAACAGTGTTAGCATGAAATGAATTGTCCACTTGCTTCTTCCTAGAAATTAGTAGGTGAGATTACTTGCTCTAGCAGAGTGACGTTTTGTTTGTATGTGTACATGCAATGGCCATCAAATTTCAGTATGGATGATAATCACCTCGGATACATGTTTAAGTATGGATTTCTGGGTTTCATATGTACATATTCTGATTCATTTGAACTGGTGATGGCCCAAGAATCTGTATTTTTAGAAAGCATCACAATGATTATAATATAGCTGATAGAAATCATATTCTGAGAAGTGTTGCTCCTTCTTTCTGAACTAGAGAGGAAGAGGAAGGAGTAATTTTGAACAACTGAGAGAACTGCCTTAGTCAGTAGCTTACATAGTCTAAAATGAGATTCTATATAGAGGTCTACAGAAGTTACAGAGCATTATAAAGGAGAATGGACACCTGGCAAAAGTTGAAATAGGGAATCAAGGGTGTCAGGGACTGAGGGTGTGGAGAGAGTCTTGAAGATCAATAAGACAACTTTGGCTTATTTCACAATTTTCCCTAGTATTGACTTATCTTCTTCAGCAAGAAAATTTACTATCAGTATTTTTTTTAAATCTAATTATTCGGGTATTTCATCTTCATTTAGGAACTGACACGCATTAGTCATTCAGTAAGTAAATTTTTTTGATAATTCAGGATCTCTAGGATATTGAACACTTTAGGTATAGGATGATTTTTTAGTATTTAGAATAGTATCATATAATTCTATACAGTATTTCATTTTGGGTTCTATGACAACAAAAATTATCTAGCATAGGGGAGATAGTAAACTATGCCATGTGGAAAAATTGAATTTAACTTTGCAACTATGAGAAAAAAACAGATTTTCACTTAAATGCATTTATAAATAATTTCTATAAAAGCTGTAATCCAAGTCATTAATGTTTTAAAATTTAAAAACAGTTTAAAGATTTTGATGAAGATGCTATGTATTTTTTAGCATGACAAATAACAACCAGAAGTAGATGGATAAATCTAGACCATTAAGAAACTCCAAACTTTTAATTTGCACTTAATTGTTTCAGCTTTCTCCCTCATCCAGTTTCATTCAGAGCTGTGAGCTGTTAAAAAGGAACTTAATTGGTTGACTTGAGTTTCTTCTTTTCACCATTTTCACCATTTGGTGGCCAGTCTGGTGGAAATAATAATGAGATGCAAACCAGGCAAACAAATGGACCAGTGGACTGGAAGGAGAAGAGGCACTGGGCATGGAAAGTTTATTATTCATCCAATCAACTAAATACATTTTAATTGTAGCAGCAATGCCATAAATCGTCTCAGCACAAGCCTACTAGTCTGCCTCATTTAATTCCTATCTATTTCAGTTGCTTTGCTTCCACCATCCATTTAAGTCTGCAATTTTAACTTTGTTCATTTGATGGGACAGATTTCCCTCTGGTTATCTGTAGTTGGGGAAGATAAATTATCTTGAGTAGCTTAATAGAAGTTGGGCTTTGGGGAAACAGTATTGTTCTTATTGAAATTTATATCTTGTTTTTAACTTCACTTAGTACAAGACCTGTGCTCTCCATTGGCTCACGTTAAACTAAACATCTCTGCCAATCTGTGCGCTCTTGTAGGTGATTCGCAAGGGGTGGCTAACCATCAGCAACATCGGCATCATGAAAGGAGGCTCGAAGGGATACTGGTTTGTCCTTACTGCTGAAAGCTTGTCCTGGTACAAAGATGATGAGGTAAGCCACGGAGGATGACAGAGTTTTCTTATTGAAGTGTTTCTAATTTCAAATTAATTGATTTTATTGTGATATACAATTTCAAGACATGAGTGGTTCTCTTTCAGTAAGACTTAGCTTGGGGTGTTTGTTTGAAGAAGCACTGTTTTTTTCCTCATAGATTTTTAATTTTATAATATCTCCCTCAAATTTCTTTTATTTCTTTTGTATAATCACATGTTCCTTAACCTGAAGAAATGGAGTTAGGAGTCAGTTGTTGGAAATATCCCTCTCTGTAATAAAGGCAAGATACTGATAGAGGGACAGCAGTTTTCATTAAATAATGTGTTGAAACTCTATATACCCAAGAATATAGAGCATCTTAAGAATGAAATTAATAGCACTGATGCAAAGTTAATAAAGAATTTTGGGATTGTTGCTGTGATGTCTGTCTCAAATGGCAGGCTTTCGAAAAATGTCCAAATCATAATCTTCAAGCCAGTCCTAGGTAATTGTTTATATGAATGTTGTTCTTTGAAAATTTGATAGCTTTGTAAAAGCAAGAATTATGGTAATTATGCTGTTCTGGTTCATGTTAGATGTTAATAATTTTTGCCTTGTGACTTACTACTCATTTAAATCTGATAGTTATAAAAGCACAAAAAATTGTATCAGTCTTTTGGAGCCATTAGAGTGCTATAAAATGATACTGCTAAATTTGGGAAATCATGGATGAAATTAACTATGTTTTGGAAATTTTAATAGCTCTGGTCTGGCCTGAGCAGGTTTTGGTGCTTATAACGCAGTATACAAACATTAAATAAGAGTACTTCATGATCGCAAAGCTATTTACAGGTGAGATTATTTCAATTTTGTTTGGCTCTAAAGGACACATATTTCAGAGTTAAAAGTTCTTCCAGTCCTGGCTTGATATTTTTTTGAAAGCACTACCAGGTGCCTTTGTTTTACTGGAGTTAAAGTTTCATGTCTTATATAGTTCTGTTTCCTAAGTACTTTGTGCACAATAGTGTGTTAATCAGATGATCAGTGTATGACCACTAAGTTTTCTTCAGTAAGAGAAATAAAATCTTATAGAAATGTGCAAAGAAGATTCCAATACAAAAGCTTTTTAAAAATTTTTAAGTCATATATTTCACTGACTTCAGTCAAATGTAGAATTGGTTGTTGTGAGAGTCTGAGGATTAGCAATGGTTTCTTTCCTGTGCTGGCTGCTCAGAAATCCCCGTCATTGTGTGGGAAGATCCAGTGTTTAAACACCACAGCTTCAGGGGCTCTGAGATCCCTCCCTAGACAGAAAATCAGTAAATAGAGTACCTTCTTTTGTGTTCATTTGCCTTAAGAGATCTTCTCTTAGATATATGTTGTTTCCAAGGATACAGAGGATCATTTATGTATATTTAAATACATACTAGTTTGGGGGCCTTTATTAGTTATTCTAGGGAAAGCAAAATATTTTGTTGAGGATTCATAATAATAATAGCTAGTGTTTTATATAGATTGATTAACTCATTCAATCCGCATTAGAACCCTAAGGATAGGTGCTATTATGATGCCCATTTTTCAGAGAAGTAAACTAAACAAACAAAAAAACCCAACTTTTTGAAAAGTCATTTCTACAGGACTCAGGTTCCCTTATTGCAGACTACTTGGTGTTTGTGAGGATAACTAACTTCCCAAGGTCAAATAGCTAGTTGGTAGCAAAGCAGAAATTCAAACTCAGGCTATCTGGCTCCAGAGTTTATGTCTTCAACCACAAATGTAGGCAAGAATCCCAGAGATGCTAGATTTGTCCAAGTCAGCTTCATCCCACAGAGGATTTATTAAGACAAATTCCAGGCATTTTGGCATTGATCTTTTTCTGGATGTTAGTATCAGGGGCTCTGAAGACAATAGGATTAGCTGCTGCTGTTGGAATATGGCTTTGGGGTTCTCTTGTCCGGCCGTGTGGGCACTGAAAGAAGGCCACTGGAAGGCACATGGTGCCCCCTATAGGGAAGGAAGCAGCTTTGAGAGCTTGGTAAGCTTATGATCACTGGTCATCCCTTCCTCTCCTCTATAAACTCAGGATAACTTTTTACAAAACCTCTGCTGCTAAAGCGCCCTCATGAGCACTTGATTACAACAAATAGAAAATCAATGTGTGCAGTTATAATATTAACTGAGTGTTGGAGACCATTTTATTCAAGTATATGTGTAGAGGGTGTTTGGGCATGGGGTGGGGTGTATAGGAATGACCCTTGAAATACAATGGAGTGATTTAGAAGTTTAGGAGAGGGTTGTTTGCTTAGTTTAGACCATTTCAAGAAAAAAAAAATGACAAAGTTGTTGCTCTATGGAATTAACAAAGAGATTAATAATACAATATCAGATACTAAGTGCTCTGAAGAAAATAAAATAGGGTAGTAAGCTAGAAAGTGATGGAGGAAGAACCTTTTGATTGGGTGTTTGGGAGGAGGTAACATTGGAACAGAGGCTAGAATGATGAGCTGTGTAGGAGATTTTGTTGACTAACATTCCAGGTAGAGGGAACCATAAGTATAACCCCCCCTCCCAGTGTGGGAGCCAGCAGGGATCCTGTGGCTGAAATGTAAGAGCATGGGGGAGAGAGGTAGGACATAAAATCAGAGGTACTAGTGGATGGGGCCTTATCCAGGCTCCAGCCAGTAATTTGGATTTTATTTCAAGGATAATTGAAAACCATTGGCTTATTCCAACAGGATGTGACATGATTGGATTAATGTTTTAGAAAGATCACTCTGGCTGCTGGGTCGGGCATGATGTGTGGGAGGGAATGGGTGTGTGGAAGGAGGGGAGTGGCAAGAATAGAAGAAGGGAGACCAGCTGGGAGACTGTAGCCGTGGTCCAGATAAGAGAAGATGGTGGCTTGAGAGGACTCTTCAGTTCAGGGTAGCAAATTGATGGGCCGCATATAGCCACACTGCAGCCATTAGCTACTGTTACTCATTAGAACTCTTCTCAAGAAACAAGATAGGAAGTTTTCAAAATATTAATGCCTGACTCCCAAATGACCCTTATCTTTAAATTGTTTGTTACTGGGGCCGAGCCTTTTTCCACTGCAGCCATCCTCATTCATTCCCACCTCATCATTCCTTGGCCACCACCACTGTCATCCCCTATTCTGCTCTGTTTCTCTTGCCCGAGAGTTTGCTACCACTGCAGACCACCTTTGAGCTTGCTGTCCAGGTGAAAGGGAGGGTACAGTACTGTTCCTTGCTTTCTGCTAGTATTCAACAAGTAGTTATTAGTATTGGCTGGGAGCAGAGACCAGAAGGGAGGATACAGGGAAAGGAGATCAAGAAGAAACATCAGAGGGTAGCGCTTAGAAGTAGTGATGAGTCTCTGGCCTCTTGAATTTGTACCCTAAACTCCCATCTTTTAGCACCAATGTTTTATTTTATTTTATTTTTTAAAGATTTTATTTATTTATTTATTGGAGAGCGAGCGAGAGAGAAACAGCATGAGAGAGGAGAGGGTCAGAGGGAGAAGCAGGCTCCCCGCTGAGCCGGGAACCCGATGTGGGACTCGATCCCAGGACCCTGGGATCATGACCTGAGCCGAAGGCAGTCGCTTAACCAACTGAGCCACCCAGGCGCCCCAGCAGCAATGTTTTAAATGATACTGAGATTCCATAAAGGTCTTACTGCTATAGTTCAAATACATGTGGCCTGAACATGCTTCTGTGGGTAACCTCAAAACCCCCCAATTTAGAATATTCCTTTGTGAAAATTAGCCTGAATTCTAACTCAACTTTTGGAGACAATTTGTTGTTAAATTAAGTGCTTGTTCTTTGTTCCCAGGGTATCTTTCTAATATGTGCACCAGCATCTATATACTTGGAAATCCTTTTATGGGATAATTTATCCTTCTTAGTCAAACAAATGTGACACAGTAAATATCATTAAGTTAGTTATATTTTCATTCATTTATTCAATGACAAATTTATATTCAAATTTTTATAGAGGATTATCATTTTTTTCTGTGTTCTGCCATCTTCCTGCTTTCTTGTGTAATTAGGTTGGTATGTTTTCATTATATCTAAATGGCTGTTGAATAAATAGCTTATTATATCATATGAATAGGTATGATTTTATGGAACTTATTAAGTCTATAATAAATATAAATGACTTATGACATATATTTGAGATTGAAGAACAATGGCTTGAACTGTTTTCCAGGATTACATTAATTGAACAAAAACCCTACAGACCATACACTTGGTACAGTGAAAATGTGAGGTGTGGAGGATGTTGATTTGCTATGACTAATGCCAGTGTTGAAACAAGTCAGTCTTGTCTGGGCCTCACTTCTTTTCTTTTCATTTGTTGAATGGGGACCTTTGCTGACCAAATCACCTCAAAGAGACATTCTAGGACTCTAAGAAATCTTATATAAATAAGTGCTTTTATAAACTTTTAGGTGTCACATTTATATATTCATGGTTGCCATTGCAAGTAACAACTGTGCCCTCCCACTGTAAAGCCATTCTTTGACTCGCATGTCTTCTAATTTCCAGTTTTTTGTCATTTCATATTGTGAGAGCAGATGTATGGTGTCTGGTGGTTTTTGTCTTGTTTTGTTTTTTAAGTAGGGAATGGTAAGGTTCAGATTCTAAGAGGGAACTCAGAGCCCATTCCTTCAGTGAGACTTGCCATGCTGCCTCCCCTCCACCTCTGGGTTCTCTTACACCTCAGCCAAGAATTGGAGGTGATAATACAAAAACACGTGATTTCCTAATGAAGCTGGCAGAGGCAATAGCATGATAACACTGTGTAATAATTTAAAACTAGAGTTGGCATGACTATAATGGGAAGTCCCCAGCATTTTTCTTGCTTTCTCCGTATTCTGAACAGATCTGTCTAGCCTACCCTTGAATTTTAGATGGATTCATGAACACCCTCAAGCATCTGTGGACTGTACTTTTTGAACCATAACTCTAAATTACAATAGTGTTATCTGTAATGTTACTGATAGATGAGCTTAATAGAGAGGTTTCCACCTGTGTCCCAGACCATGTTTTTTTCTACATGTTATCTTCAAAGAGTCTTTATAATACAATGTGGTTATAGTAGACATAATTAAACTATTTACCTGACTGTATGTTATTCTCCAACATTACTTTAAGACTGGGGCTTTCTGTAACACAAAAAGAAATAAACTGTCTTCTTGCAGGGTTAAACAGTTTATAACTAACCACCAAAGGGATTTGCCCAAACGTGGCTGACCTTCTAGATCATGCTCTAGTACCCCAGACTAGGAAATTCCCTATACAAGTGGCCCTGAGATCTTTTCTAGGGGTTTGATAGGCCTTTTCCTAGTTTCATTCTTCCCAGGGCATTCTGCCAGTGTGTGTACCAAGTCAAGGAGGATCTGCTTAAGCGGGTGAGGACAGAGTTTGGACATGCAGGCTTGTGTGTCCACATATATTCCCTTGTATTTGGGATGGTTGATCTTATAGATCCTTTGATTTCTATCAAAATAATAACATAAGGATATTTTTGGTACTTTACTAAGGATTTGGGCAAGCACTACAGCAATTCAAACAACCTCAATTAGAATATTACATACCCCTCTGCACAGTTGTTTTATCCAGAGGACACCCCACTTGGTTGGGTATGGCAGTGGTGCTCTAGCCTTGTGCTGGCCCAGCCCAAGGACAGTACCTCAGCTCCTCTCTTTCTCTTTCCCCTCCTATTTCTTCTCTCAATGCTGTTAATCTGGATTGCCCCAAACTCAAGGTGCTTCTCACTCTGTTGTATACATCCATTCAGCTCTTCTCAGCATCTAGTCCAGCCTTTGGTCCAGCCTCAGTCTTGCATATTCAGACTAGTCAAAATGCTAAACCAAACCAAATGGACTTCCGGTTAGCAAGATGCTCCCTAGTTTGACAGTAATTGTGGTTGTAAATAGTATTCCACTAGTCATTCTACCTGCTTAAAGTCATGAAGGCCAGCTTTCTATCTGAACGATAATCTTGATGATGATCATTATCATCCTAAAAGTTAACATTTATTGAGTATTTATAGTTTCCCAGGCACTGAGCTAAGTATTTTATTTACATTTCCCATTTTAGAGACGAAGACTGAGACTCAGAGAATAATTTAGCCAGCTGCTCAGTGTTGGTGCTGTGCTCTTAACTGCCTGAACGTTTCCCAACAAATATTTTCTGAACACCTGTTATGTAGTACACACTATCCTAGTCACTAAGGATAAAACAGTTACCAAGGAATTCATGGTACCTGCCCTCCTGAAGGATATTTACCAATAAAGAAAACATACAAACAAGCCGGAAAACCTATCAGATACAGATTACAAGCTATGAAGAAAATAAATCCAGTGATGTATTTGACTTAAAGAGCATCTGGGGTGGGGATCACAGCATGGGGGGGGTGGGGAGACATTGAATTGGGTGGTCAGAGGTTTGTGTTAATGTCTTGAGGCTAAGATTGAGCCTGATGAGTTGAAGAAACTGAATTAAGGCCAAAGAGAACAAAGAGAGGGAAAAACTCTATAAAGATTAAGGATTTTGACCTTAAGCCTTAGAAGTTTTTAAGCTGGAAACTCACATAATAAGATCTGAATTTTTTACAGATCCTTTTGCTTGCCTTGTAAAGAATGGATTGAAGGAGCACAGAACTGAGGGGGGGAGTTGTTAGGGAGGTATGGCTATGGGCTATGTAAGAGATAATAATAGCTTGGGCTGGTTGGGTTGGTTGATGGAACTAGATAGAAGTGGATGGATTTAAGAGATTATTTCAGGTGGTGAAAACTGACAACTCATCACACGTGATATGTATTGGTTGAGTGTTCCTGCTAAATTGTAAGCTTCTTGAGACCAGGAGCCATTGACTTATTCATTGCTCTACCACCAGTGAACATGGCACTGGCAGGTGACAGTAAATATTGGTTGAGTGAAGATATGATTGAGCAAATAAATACATAAATGCAACCTAGTATTTCGTGATGTCCTGTTACATCAGGTACCTAAACCAAATTATTTCATTACAGGGTAAACTTACAATTTAAGGTAGATTATTTTAAAATTTTCTTAATTTTCATCATTGAAGGTTAATGTTTTTTTTTCTCCCCTGACTCTATAGCTTCCTGCACTGAAGATCATTTAAGCAGAAAATAAATTTCCCAATGTTATTTTAACACATTGTAAATATATTTTGTACAAATCTTAGGATTTAGAAAAGGGCCAGGTGTAGACTTAAAATAGAAACTATCATTTCAGGAAGGACTTGAGGCTTATATAGTTTTATATTAATACTTTAAATCAGATCTGGAAGAAAAGGATACATATTTAAAATATGTATAAAATATGAATTTTAGAAGATAGGATATTCTGATAAAGGGAGAAAAAAGCCTTATTTTTCTTAATATCAATGAGAAATGTGTGAATGATAGTTAAAATCTCTGAAGGGAATTGCTAGTTTATGTATAATGGTAGCATACAGCCAATATTTATTCTATTTATATCATCCAACATGAAGATCAAAATCATTATGGAATAATCATAGGAAACAAGCATAATTTAACAGAAATGCTCCCAGTGAAAATGTACTAACCTTATAATATTGAAGAAAATCCAAAATCCGCATTGAAAGAAGGACATTCTTTGGACTCTTAAAAAATTACAGGCCTCATTTTTGTGGGTTGAAGTATTTGGATAGCTTGATAAGGAGATTATATAATCCCCTTATAGGGATATTTACTTAGTATTGTTTTTATTATGTGGCTGTAACAGAAGACAAATGTAACTTAGGTAATAGAAAACAAAATGGCAGCTATCTCCCTGAATGGCCCAAACTGTGAGACCAAGAAGTCCTAGAAATCTTCAGCTCTTTCCAGTTTCACTTATACTTTCAGGAGTCTGCCTGTTTCCTGCTAGGTCCCCACGTTCCCTGTGATGAGGAGTTTAGGATTGACCCTGTGAACACTATTTACACTCCTTGTGGAGTTGTTTTAGTCAGCCAAAACTTAGATATTTTTTTGCCAAAGAGGTCCCAATAAATATTGAACTTTAAAACATTTATGTTACTTAAAATTCTTCATGATTGTAGTTGTGTTTTTTCACATATATAAGATATCTTATGTTATGCTTTTTAATGTAGGATTATTTCATACAAACATTTCCACATTGTGGTGTTATCCAAAGATTTATAACTTTGACAAATATATACAACAACCTATAATGGCAAATACTATTTCAAATTTATGAAAAATACTCAATAGGCCCAAACCCACTCCTCTAAATGTATTTTTTTGTCCCACTCAAAAGTTTATTCTGGAAAAATAATATTATTTACCAGAAGAGTAAAATTTTTAAATGTCCTTCATTTAATGAATTTAAATATATATAATATTCTTTCAGGCATTTTTTGAGAGCTAAGTGAAAAAATGTAAAACCAAAATGTTAACTTCAAATTTTACGGGAATATTATTTGAAATGTTATCCTGGAGTGGCTCACTTAAGGATGACTGTGCTGGCCTCCTAGCTTTCCCTTTAGAGTTTGCTGGAATAGAATAGTCTTCTTTATGTTCTGACCTGCTATTGTGTCATTCGGAGAGGTCTCAAGCACTGTCCTGGGACTGCCTTGCAGGGTCCAGTAGAGTGATCCAGATGTGAACTCCTGTTGGCATTTGCTGCGGGTTATATAAAACATTTAAAATTGGGTGGTTATATGTAAATATTTTGTGAGACATTTTTATATCGTCTTCCTGTTTATATTTTATGTTTTCTGAACTATTGTTTAGTACTTTATTTGCTAGTCATGGGACTTTCATTTAAGGTGAAAACCTTCATTGCTCAATGTGTTTTGCAGAAGTATATTTTTGCAGAGGACATATTTCCTAAGGCCAGATTGTTAAATGCAAGAATTTAGCCTTAATGATATTTTTACTTTGTGGTTTTTACTTTAAAAAAAGAAAAAAATCACTTTTTTTCTTTTTTTAAAGAAACTATAGTGTCAGGTCTAGTAGAATAGCACAAAATCCTGTGCTATTTAACCTTGTGGGATTTTTAGCCTTAAGACTAAATCTTTCATTTTAAAAATGAAATATCTGAATAAAAATAGTTTTTTTTAGTCCAAACTATATATTTGAAATATTTAATTAAGTTTTGAAGAAACCAGAAAATTTTATGTAGTCTTGTACTACATTTTTGAAGGTTCAATCACAATCTCAGGAAAATGAAATTAATTTTAAAGACTGACGTTAAAACATTTTAGTGAACCAAGTCAAAGTTGACAATTTTCTAATTTTATCTGTCTCCCACCTTTTTTACCCATGAGTGTTTGAGACATTCATATACACAAGCCAGCCCTGATCATTTCACCCCAGTTCACAGTGTATAAACTGAAGTTTTGACATTTCCTCAAGAGATATGGTAAAATATACATTGCATTACCATTGATCCCTTTCCTTGCTCTTTTTGAAAATAATCGAATTGCCTGAACATCTCGGGAGTATCGAAGTTTACAGTGAATGGGAGCATGTTTTCCAAGTGAATGCGTTGGCCTGGAAACTCCACCTTCAGAACTGTAGTGTAATCTCCTCCTTAATTAAACAATGACAAAGTAATAAATCTTTGTGTATCATGACACTTGGGAATATCCGAGCTTCTATTTCAATTTTCTGTATATCAGCAGAGGAGAAGCAACTGTTCTAATACATATGAACATTATGTTCAAAATACTCTTTTCACTATGTTTTGCCTAGACCCAAACTGGTAGAGTTTATTAACTCAAAATACATGATCCCTTTGAGAGAACATTATCTCTTCCCTTGTTTTCTTTTCTCCCTCTCTCTCTTAAAAAAATCATGACATAGAAAACTAAACTTAGTTTTTGTAGTAGAATTATTAGAATCACTTATTCTCTGCCAAGCATCCGACAGAAGTTATATTGTTTTGTCATATTGATTATGGGGTGCTGCAAAGCTGTGTACAATAAATGTCACGGGTAGGAATTTACTGACAACAATTAGGAAAAGAGAACTATAGAAAGCACAGGAACATTTTCAGAAATGGGTTTTATTGTATTTCATCGGCACCACTCACTTTACTTTTCGGTGGGTTTCAGTATTCGAATCAAAATATAATATAATAAAATCATACATACGAATTAAGTATTAAACCAACAGATCCGGCCCCCAGGCCCCCGCGCCCCTCATTTTGGTCGTAGCTCTTGGTGTAGATGCTATGGTGTGAGGGCTGCTCTCTTTCAGTGGCTGGTTGTCCCTCAGGCTGGGTTGTCATGTGACTGCCTGTCTGTGCCTGCTGTACAGGTGAGCGGATGTTCTGCACAGCAAGTGTAGACAGGCAGTCACGTGACAACGCCGTCCAGCCAGGCCCTTGGTTCCTTCGGGTCTCCTTTGCTCATGGGCAGACACAACCAGTCTGTTTTCCAGATTTGGTGATTTTGGAGGGTGGGCGGGGGAAGGGAGAAAAACACACAATAGAATTAAACATTAAAACATTATGGAACTAAAACAAGTGAGACTTTTGACTTTATTCAGAAAGTACACTTTTACATTTGTTCCAGACATGCTAACATGGATAATGGACGTAACAGAACACTCACACTGAAATCTCAAGGAAAAAACAAAACAAAACAAACAAAACAAAAAGATTAAACACAAGGTTTATTCTTAAATCCAATTCGTATTATTATTATTACTGGCCCACATGCAGTCAGAGTTCAGAGTCATTGAGCCAGATGTTTTTCCTCTTCACAAAAACTCTGCATATTTTCATACTGAAGTTAAAGATAAAGACTATGTTTATACATGTTTCTTGTAGTCGATAAGTACCATAGCCTTGCCCATGAAAAAGAAACTTGTCATTTACATGGAAACGGCAGCCATTTTCGAAATAATTAACAAGCCTAATCTATTTGGCAATTCAACCAGCCAACTTTGGTATCCGATGCTTTGATAGTGGGATTTGACAAGGGGATGCATTTCTTGCCAATACTTCATAAAGCAGAGGGGAACTTGTTTAAATTTCTCATAGTCTTTTTAAGGCAAAGGTTTTAAGTATGGATGTGAAAACCAAATAAGAAACGGTTGTGAGCTTACGTGTTCCTCCTCTTAATTAACTACAGCGCCGGGCCATGAACCAGAAGGGTATAAACTAAAAAGTCGTTACCCACAGTGATGCTCAGAATGTGTTTTGGACATTGGTGGTACAGTACAGTTACAGAATAGGACCTTAAATGTAGGAAAGAAAACTTTATTTCATATCCAAAAAGTAAAACCAGACCCCTTAGAAAATTTTCTTATAATTTATACAAGAAAGAGTTAATGGTGTTAAATACACAGGTAGAAAATGTAATTCTGGTGGCTCAAGGATAATCCTACTGGCTATTTTAATATAAATGATCATTCACATCCATAGAGGTATTTAATAAATCCCCCTGCCCTTTAAAAAACAAAATATTTAGATAGAATTCCAGTAAGTGGGATTTCTTCAAAAACAAAACGAAATCTTATTGTCCAAGGAGTGTGTAGTTTGGGACTTTTTCCAAAGAGTTTTAAAGAAAACACCTAGTTTGTTATTTCCCTTTAATTATAAAATTCTGAGAAAATAGCAAATAGAAACTTTATGGAGAGGAAAATATTTTTAGAGACTGAAAAATTATAGTTTTCTACACATCTGAACTTTTATGCATTGATTAGATGTGGTACAGTTTTAACAAAGAGGTGATAAGAGCAATTTTCCATTTATTTATTTGATTTCAAGAAAATAAATGTCTGATTCTGTTTCTGGTCAACATTCTGAGTAGAGAACTTTCTTTTTTTCTGACAGAATCAAAAATGTCAGTAAACTTGGCTGCTATTTAGATAATCACAAGGTCAGAGTATGCAAAAACAAATACCTTATGAAACTATTTTGTTATTGTTGCTGCATTCAGTGTAACAGAAAATATTTAGAGTGATTCACTTACAAAGAATATATTGGTGGAAATTAAAAATTACTGTAATTCTGTATAGCTTTCCCTCTCTCTCCCACAAATAATTTGATCCAGTTAACTCTGCTCAATTAAAGGAATGATGCATGCAACCTGAAAAAATAGAAAGAAATATTTGTGAGTTTATCTGTTATATTTTAATACGAAACAGTTTTACTAAACCAAGATAATCCAAAAATATTTGAGCCTGAAAAACCATAACTTATTTTTCAAGGGGAAAAAATCTTGCTGAAAAATGACTACTCTATTCATAAGACTTTTGGAAAATTTATGTTTCTAATAGCTTTTTAAACTACAATTATAGTAAGTATGTGGCATATGCATACTTCATAGTTATGTTGAACCTGCCCTTAATCTTGTTAAAAAGACAGAAGGCTGAAAAATACATTTAAGACTTTTTTCCCATCTCCCAATGAATGGATATTCCCAATGAATATCCATTCATTACCACTTAAAATACTAGCTAAAATATGAAAGAGCTATTTACATGATTATCATACCATGTAATTTTTAATATGGTTATTACACCTTGTTTTCCTTTGTCTTTTATTTATTATCTTAAGGAAAAAAATGTAATGAAAGAATTATCTTCTAAATCCTTTAGAGCAAAATTAAGCCAAAGCAACTTCAGGAAACTGGCTGTCACGATAGGTCAGGAAATTCAAAATGAAGATTTAATTATTTTCCTTAATTTACTTCATTATCTCTATTTATTAAAACTGATAAAGCTTTTAATAGACTTTCAAAACCTGGGTAAATATTTCTATTTACATAGTTTGCAGCACACAAAGGTGAAAAGATGAAAGAAACCAAGTAAGAAAGTTTCTGTCTTCACGAAAGACAATTGCCTGTCTCCTTTCAGGTGAGAGCCTGACCTTCTAGTTATTTTAAGCTGGGATTTCTGAATGAAGGTCGCTCAGTTATTATTTGGACATTATTGTGATGGGTGGGATATTCTCCTTAGAAAAGAGGAAAATGGGTTGTTTTTAAAGAGCAGATCTCTTGTAGAGTAATTGAAAGCTTTGGCTTCTCTTTAGCAGGGATGGACGCTGGTGGATGCGTGAACTTTTTCACATTATCAAGTTGTATTTTCCTTTTATTTCCTTAAAAAAAAGGGGGGGGAGATTCTTTCATTAGAAGTTTTATGCCTAACCTTTTTCCCATGACATGAAAAACTTGGGTGGTCTGTAAGGCGAGAGGTGGGGGTAGACAGTATATTTTGGTCTTTTAAAAACATAAACACCATTATCTGGGCCGAAAGACAGAAATGCGAAGCAGGAAGGACGTTAACCTATTGACTAATTGTAAGAAAGTGATCAGTTTGAAATTTTGTCTCATTGTAAATAAACTCTCTTTGATTTTGAGATCCGTGGCTTAAAAAAGGGAGTGAGGTTTGAAAACTGTTTTATATTGATCCTCTTCCAATTAAGAATTGATGGTGTTAAAGCTAAGGCCCTAAATTTCCTTTTCTTGGATGCCAGAAAAAAGTTTTCCTTTTAACCCAGTACCTAGCCTAACTTACCAGTCATCCACTCACTAAAATGAAAAATAACTAAAAGCTTCTATGAAATGCAGTTTGGACAGACTCCGCAAACATTTTTCTCTTTCTGACAATGCACAATGTTTAATTTTAATACTTACCGTCATGTGCAGCGGTAGTTTTAGTTGAAGATGTCACTGTTGGTTAGTTTCCTCTGGAATAGATCCCATGACCTCTAAAATATTTGTATATCTCCTTATAAAGTAATATCAAAATAAAGTTAAACATTGCTCTAATTGCCCTGGAAAGAGATAAGGTTATTTTACGATATGTGTGTATACATGCTGGCGTGTGTACCAGCATATAAACGACCATCCTATCCTGCCTTCAGTCAGCAAGGGTTTATAAAGTGAGCTTTTACTTTTGATGCTTAATTTAGCTCATGCAATTTAAAAATAAGTACGATTCCTTTTCATTTGTTAAAAGCTTGCATCAAAAATGGGTTGTCGGGACTCCACCGAGCACTTGCACGCACTCCTCGGCTACCCCTCTACAAATTAATTCTTAAGGTTCCTATTCCTGTACTTATGCCAAGGACACCATCGGGTCCCCTCTATCTCCAGACTAAAAGTCATCCTGAGGGAGAAAATTGGTGGGCGAGCAGTGGCGTTTAGTTTCTTAGAGTCAAAAAGACCATTAAATGTGAAGAAAGACATTTAAATTAAATATACATGAAATGAAAGCAAGTTGTGAAATTCTGTCATTTATACAGAGTTAAAAAAAAAATTCAGAAAAACTTAAACATTGCCAAAGTCCCTTATAGCTCTTTTTCTTCTTTAGTTAAGTGCATCAATTAGTAAAAATATATTTCTTGAGAGTAAGCTTCCGTAATTACCTAATAGGTTTTTTTTTCAGTTTCCTTGTGTAAAAGGAACTATATAGGTTTTAAATATCTCTTGTTCTATTAAAAATACTTAATATGCAAGCCTCCAAGTCACAATAGAAAAAACAAAGGATGGCTTTATTATATCATCTAAGTGGAGAAAATAACTAAATTTACCCTTGCTTTTTATATTTTAACTAAAAACTATGGATAGAAGAGATAACTTAATATGTTCTTTATACCAGTTTGGGGATAATCAAAAGGGTGATTTAAAAAGTAAATTGTTTTCACAAAAGATAACCTGGGGAACTTTTTGTAATAAAATGTTTTGCAAAAGAGAACTTGTGACAATTTTTGAATTGTTGCAAAATGTACAATTTAGAAAAGGATTTGTTCAGGAACCACTGTAATTTTAAAGAATTTAAAGGAAGACAAAAGAGATCACATTCATTTTTTTCATAAAAACTATAGAACAGATGTTTTCATTATATAGAATAGTTTGGGGGTAGATATAAATGGGGGTTGAGGGACTTAGGGGTGAGGCAGTAACATTTTTCCAGAACTTTCTTTAAGAGGCCCACCTTTAAAGTTCAGCATGGATCATATTGCAACCCAGACTTTCTCTATTATTCTCTCTATTGGGATTTCATTCAGCTTGAGGGTTTTCCTCCCTCCCACCTTCCCCCCCACCCCCCTTCACCTCCAGGACAGCTGGAAACTGACCAAAGAAAACTTTGCCTTCGTTTACAAATTCCTTTTTTATCAGTGGGTTTCTAGACAAAGTACCTTATCATTTTAAATGCTCGGAGAAATAGAAGCATTGTAAAATATAGACATGAGGTCTCAGCTGACCAGCAATTATCAACCATTTTTGGATTAAAAAAAAAAAAAAACTGTAACACAGAGATATATATTGGGATATCTGAAGACAGAGGTTTCTTCTATTCTCCGACTTAATCAGCTGCTGACTCACTAAGTTCTGGGTTGGCGCTCTTTTCTGGGTCAGTCCCATCTGCATTGTCTGGTGGGCAAAAACTTGGCAGCCTCTTTTATTGTTAGATGCTACTATTCCTGGTATTTATATTATGTACGTAAATTTTCAAAACACTATTCGGATAGCATTTTAAAAATAGCAAATATTCTTTACTTTGAAGCAAAATGGACTCAATCCCAGGGTGTTAAAAGTTCTACTACAGCTCTTACTCAAGTAAGTTTTTATGTCCTTGGATTATTAATTTCAACAATTAAAAACTAGCCTCATTAAATTACTCTTAAGTGCTTGGAGTGTTTTCATGTTTCATTTGGAAGTGGGAAAAACTTTACACTTAAGAAAATACTTGACTTATAAATCTTCAGAAATCAAATAACATACAGTAAATCGCTCTATACCACATACTGTTACTCTTTCAGAAGTAAACCATAGCTCTCCATCACACATATCCCTCTGTTTCTCTCGCATGTGAACGCAAATCATTGGCTCCCCACCTCAGCTCTCCTGGGCACAGACCAGGTGAGCAGTCAAGAAGGCCTTACCCACAGGTCTTATTTCGAGTAGTCCTTTCTCAGCAGTGTCTCCGAGGGCTTCTGGGTCCCTACTGTGCAAAACCTGTGAAGAAAAACATTGGGTATGAGATTTGAAAAAGCAAACGAAAGTCTTCTCCTTGGAAACAGCCACGTTTGTCCCCAGCCGTCCATGGCGTTGCTCTCCCTTGCCCAGTCTAACCAATGTGCAGACTACTGTACAACGGCATTGTCCTGAACAGGTAGTCTGAACACTGGGGCGACGGAGCAGGATCTCCAGAAGCTTCCATCTATGTACTTAGAATCCTCTCCTGGTCTTTGGGAAAAGCCTCCCTTCCTGCACCAGGGGTTGCATTCGGCTTTCCCCCCTGAATTCTGCTGCACTGACTGAGACACACTCAAGGGCTGTGATTTCCAGTCTTGACGTGGCACATTTGCTGCAGACTGGGGAACTGGCAATGAATTTAGGACCAGGAAAAGGGGGAGGGCTGGGCTGGAGAGTCCATATATGGGATGATGTCACCCTGGGGAGGTTTGGGTATGCGCTGTGCCGCTGGAGAGACCGCTAGAATCGCCTGCTCTCAGACATGGGTCTGTGCATAAAATGGTACCAGATGTTTTAGTGTAATGTTAAGCAGTCATTTCATCTTCAGGCCAGATTTTTTTCCTCAACTGGGCAGGAAGTGGGCCTCAGTATGGAAAAGCTGTAAAAAAAAAGAGTCGAGATGTACAGTTCTGCTGTGGCCAACTGAAAGTGAGTTAGTGTAGAAGTACAAATTTGCTGTCCGGTCCAGGCTAGAAAAGTAATTTGAAGATAGAGGGTAGATTAAAAAAAAAAAAAAAGTAAACAGAAAGTTGAACACTGGAAGTCAGGGCTCATTTGCAAACTTTTTTGAGCTTTCCTGTGGTACTTTATTTTCTGGTATTTCACTCGTCAAAAGGGCAGATAAGTTCATTTTTTTCTCTCTCTCTCTCTTTCCCTCCTCCTCCTCGTCTGTTGGATCTGTCAGCGGCTTGCAGGCTGCTCTAGACTTGAACAGTAATTATAGCAACTTCCTGAAAGTGAAGCCCCCATGAAAAGTCTGGAGAAATGTTCTTTGTCATGGCCTCTACATGAGTAATTAGTTCCACATGTGGCCTTCCTCGTTTCCCTCAGCGATTTTGGCTGGCTCTCTGAATGCTGTGCTATAGCTTGACCTAAAGAAACTTTATAAAGTTTTCATTTCAAACCTCCACTACGAAATCACGACTTCAGGCTCCTAACAAATTGCCTCTGGTAGATCCATGCTCTTAGGAACAGCATTCCTTTTCACTGGTAATTCTTGATTCTGTGTGAATACTTTTGTTTTATTTTAATGGTATTCCACTGCTTAGTTTTTTATCTCCGGTTAACTAAATCTGTTGAAATTTGCCAAGTACCGCTTGACCAAAGGTTATAACATATCAGCCCACTGGCATCTCCTTTTCTTTTCCTGTTGTTGCTGTTTTCAATTATATATATACTGTTGAATATTCTGAGTATACAGCCCTGCGACTGTCCCCCCATAGAATTCTGATTAAAGTTCGGGTTACCTCAAACAAGAGCTTGATTAATTGCTCTTCCAGAAATCAAAATGTGAGAAAATTCCTAGGTAGCTTCCAAATATAATTTGAGTAGCCAAACTATGAAATTTAGTAATCTTTAAAGAATTACAACTAAAGCAATTTATTTCTACTGGCCTTATGCAATACTTTTGAGAAGCAGAAAAATCTACCTCTTTTAATATATTGGTTTGGATATTCCAAAAAGCTTCAAGTGAGAGCCGCCTTGAAGCCTTCACTTATTGTGAAATGACTTCTCTTGAATTAACATATACCACTAATGGAATCTAAAGTTTTGACAAGCCCTGGTCACCTTGGGAGGAAGATTAAATAAGATAAAAATGAATTATCCAGGAATTTAGGATGGAACAAAGACATTAGCAATGGGTACATCATTCATAGAGGGATTTAAACCATCAATGGAAATCCGAGGGATTACTTCCTATCACTGTATTTCTGCTTCCATACTTATATCTATAGGGCCTATCCCATAATACTTGAACAAGCTCAGTATGCCCTAGCTCCCTTCCCCCCCACCCCCATCACTGCTTGTATAATACTGGAAATAGACAAATGTGACTACGTACAATCTCATAGTCTTATTACATGTGGATACCAACTCTGTCCCTTCTCAGTGTCTATATGTTAATTCACAAATCATCATAGAGGGGGCTATGAGCCAGTGGGACAGTAGTGAGCCAGGAATCCAGCATTCCAGGTGTGGGCTTGTTTCTGCCACAAATAGTGAAAGCCTTTCCTCTGCCCTCTTCTATTTATATCGATGAAACATGCCTTGGAAATTTTGGGTAAGGCAGATGAAAGGTGGTTCTGATCAAACTGCTCCATGATTTCATCTTAGTTCACACATCTATAGTTTGTCAAATGTAGGAGAGAACCTTTCTCAAAAAGGGACTTTTACAAAGTTTTCTTCAAGGAATTCAAATTCATAATTATCTTTGCTGTTTTTGAAGCAGTTTAAGTGATTTTCTACAGAATACAGCTATACAGGTTTTGTTCCTAGCATATGTGCCCGTCTCATTGGGTTTCTAGTTGACTAAAATGTTTTAGAGTTATCTTTCCTTCAAATAGTTCAACAAATATTTATTATTGCCTACTCGTATGCTGGTCACAATGCCCAGGACTGGGCATCATCATTGAGAAGATATGATTCCTGCCCTCAAAGGGCTCACAGTTACTTATAATGTTAAGAATGCTAACCTGTGATCAAATTCAATCTACAGAATCTTCCATGCCTCTGTGGGAAGTCCTTGGCATTCATTTGTAAATGGCCTGAGGACCTTTTCTATGTCTGTAAAGTTGTCAGTTAAATACCTGATGTGTGATGGGTTCTAGAAAGCACGGTTACGCACAACAAAGACTTGCCTTGGACAACTAATGTTATTTAAGCCTTTTGCTTACATAAATTTGCCATTTCAAAACATATTGACCAAAGTGATTGTTTGAATCAGTGGATAGTTTGGGGTGACTATAAAATTTGTTCTATTTTAAAATGTCATGGAAAGAAAATACTGTTTCAGTTGGTTATCATTCCGAAGCTTGGCACATTTTTATGACTTTAGAAATTCTCAAATTGAAACCGGGACTGAGTCTTGTTTCTTTGTACTCATGAAGGAACAGGGTTACTAGTGTTTACAATAGAGTATTTTGTGATGTCTAGATACGGTGTCACAGGTAGTATTTATAGTCTGTACTTCAAATAGTATTTATGTAGCTTTAATTTTTTTTGTTACAAAATCAGTGCACGGGCATTATAAAAGTTCAAACAATAGAAAGTATGTAAAGAAAAAAGTTAATCATCTTCCCTTCCAACCTCCTAACCCTTTCCGCTCTCCCAAATTAGTGGTAACAGTTTTGTGTGATTCTTTTTACTGTCTTCTCAATGGCCATTTATAGGTTTTTTATAGAGTACAGAGTCTTTCCACATGCAGTGTAACAGTTTCTTGTAAATATCTTATGTGGTAGATATTAATCATCATTCCCATTTTATCGATGATGAAATTGAGGCTCAAAGTTAAGCATATTCTTTCGTGGAGTTACACTAAGTGGCAGAACTCAGCTTTTTTCTAACTCAGACACTTGTACCCGGAAGCATATTGCAGAGACTGTTTTTTTCCCCTACAGAATTCTTAAGGGCGCTTCTATTTCCTGTTACCCATTTGCTAATTATCTGCTGCCTTCTTAGTTTTATACTGAAATGTTACCAAATATTTCACATATTTGGATTTTTCCCCAAATAGAATATAAGCTAACTGAAGGCAGGGATGCTATCTTTATACTTTTAATGGCCTGTGGCAGACCATTCAGTATACGGTTGAAGAATGAATAAAAGCTACATAGTACCCATGCAGTTTCTGATCAGACCTTTATCATGATAATTATTCGAGAATTAAAACTATCTTATTTTTTAATCTTAAGTGGGAAACATGGATATAGGTGTACTGCAGTTCTGTATCAGATTGCACTATTCTTTTAGAAATGAATGTGAACATTTGGGCCAGCCATATTTCCTTGCTTATTTTTGGCCTTGTAATCTTCTAGAAGCATCCTGTGTAGCTATCGTTCATATAATCTTGTGTGAAAAGCAGGATCTAACCAAGTTGTGGCGTTTCCTTTCTTGTTGTTTTCTCCTTCCCAGTTTGTATCTGAGATAAAAATCTAGTTGACCCCAGTTCACTGCAAATTAGGAAAGATAGCCCCACTTGGTTTGCCTTTATGTTGTGTGGATTAGCACTTGTGTGTGTGTGTGTTTGTGTTTTTTTTTTTTTTTTTTAATTGGAAGCAATGCAATCCCCTAATCACTAGCATTTACTATTTTGTTGGGGCCCAAAAGGACTGGGAGATTTGTTGTAGCAAAGCTTTCCCCTTTTCTGTCCTTCCCTGACTCTCAAATGGCTGCCTTCAGATCACTGCAGTGAGGTGCCCTCTCAGGCAGAGATGCAACATCACAGGCTGTAAAATGGAGGAGAAATAGTCCAGAAGAGTCAACAGATTTTCCTTCAGCAACTGCAAAAGAAGTAAAATTAGAACAGCTATAAATCATAAATTTAATGCAACCGATTTTACAGTCTTCAAAAAGCTTGCGAAAAGCGAAGATTGTGAGAGAGTTGATTTTAAAACGTACATTTACTAATGCATGTTTTGTTTTGCCTGTCTGTAGACTTTCCACTGCTGAGTCTGTTTATTTAGAAATCAGCCTCTAACCAAAGGCAGTATATATTTTATGAACATTCTTTCCTCAAATCAGTTGAGGAAGATACTGTTACGACTTTGAGTTTCACTAACCACTGTCCTGCACAGCAGCCGTTTCTCTATTTCAGTAACATAATACATCCGGCAGATAAACCTTAAAAACTCTGGCTCTATTGAAAACCAGTCGCATGAAGGTAAAAATATGATTTATGACTCCAGCAAAATTTCAAGCACTGTCTTGAAATCTTTAGGGGAAGGCAAGATAAAGGGATAGGAAAATTGGCGCTGGCCTTTGCAGGCAGATTTTTAAGTGAGAGCGTACTAGGAATGCGGTCTGCTGCCTGCTTCAGCCCCCAAAAGCTGACGAGCATCATCTGAATGCTATGTGCTGTGAGCTCCCATTG